GGGTTCAAGCAATTCTCTTGCCTCAGCCTCCCGAGTAGCTGGGACTACAGGCGTGCGCCACCACACCCAGTTAATTTTTGTATTTTTAGTAGAGACAGGGTTTCACCATGTTGACCAGGATCGTCTCGATCTCCTGACCTCATGATCTGCCTGCCTCCACCTCCCAAAGTGTGGAGGCACGAGCCTCACACAGGCATGAGCCACAGTGCCCAGCCCACAAATGGATTTTAAAGATAAAATTTGAACATAAAATGTGTGTTGAGATCTCATGAGAAAGCAAAGCATTAAACCCTTTTCTACATGCATGGAAGATAGGAAATAAGATTACATCCATGATCGGTCTAGCAATGCACAATGGTGAGCACAGATAATACATAATCCTAATTCATTTGTGTTTTAAAAAGCTAAGTCTGGGCCAGGTGTGGTGGCTCGCGCCTGTAATCCCAGCACTTTCGGAGGCCAAGGCAAGAGAATTGCTTGAGTCCAGGAGTTCGAGACCAGCCTGGCCAACATGGCAAAACCCCATCTCTACTAAAAATATAAAAATTAGCCAGGCATGGTGGCACATGCCTGTAATCCCAGCTACTCAGGAGGCTGGGGCAGGAAAATCACTTGAACCTGGGAGGTGAAGGTTGCAGTGAGCTGAGATCATGCCACTACACTCCAGCCTGGGCAATGGAACGAAACTCCGTTTCAAAAAAAAAAAAAAATCTAGGCCCAGTTTCATCCAGATAATGAGTATATGTGACTGTATATTCTTAAATCTGGGTTAGATTATATAAAAATTTACTCCGAGACTAAAAGAAAATCTTTCCTCCCAAGGAAAGTTTCCCATGTGGGGCCCACTATGCTGACTGATGATCAACAATTACAAACTCAAAACAGGTTGGGGGTGTTGTCTATTAATCACATGGCTTTGAATTTGGCAGCTTCCACCAGCTGGCACCTGGTTTTAGACAGAGGCAGCTCCATCCTCTATGCCAAGCCTAAAACAATCTCTGACTTCTGCCAATTTTGGGTCCACAACTCAAGGAATGCATGAAATGCTCAGGGAAAGGGCAGAGGAGAGTCAGAAAGATGAGGAAAGTTGAAAAATAAGACCTAAGCAGACAAAACTCCTCAACTGAAGAAATTGTGATTACTGATCTGGAAGTCTGGGCACCTGGGCACTGGCCCAGAGACATTTTTTTCTACCTGGGTTAATTCAATAAACATTAAATTCGGGAATGTCTTTAATTTTCATAGAAGACAAAGCTTGAAGCTCACAGTTCTGAGGGTCAAAGGAAAACTCTCCCTATGAGGAACTTACGGTCCCTCTAGGAGACGACAGATCCCGGAGGAATTCAGAGCCAGAAGAAACCCTGCAGAACCCAGGAAAATCACAGTCATGAAGACTGGAAGGCAGCTTGATGGAATAAAAATGCGGAACCGGCTGGGCGTGGTGCCTCACGCCTGTAACCCCAGCACTTTGGGAGGCCGAGGCAGGTGGATCACCTGAGGTTGGGAGTTTGAGATCAGCTTGACCAACATGAAGAAACCCCGTCTCTATTAAAAATACAAAATGAGCCAGGCGTGGTGATAGGCACCTGTAATTCCAGCTACTTGGGAGGCTGAGGCAGGAGAATTGCTTGAACCCAGGAGGCGGAGGTTGCAGTGAGACTAGATTGCACCA